AGCGGCGATGTGGCCGCTGTTGCGAGGGTTGTCGTGGCGCTCCGCGCTGGCCCGCGCCGGTCGCGCCCCTCTCCAGGCCGGGCGCCGCGCGGACTCGTGCTATCCCGGTAGCGCCGGCGAGCTGCGGGGCGAACCGGACAGATTCGGGGGCGTCACGGTGCACCTGACGCAGCTCCACGCTCTGGGCCACCTGGACGCCGCCGCCTTCCAGAAGGCCTTACAGGGCAAGTGCGCCTGCGCCGAGCCTCCACTGAGACCCTGGCGCCGGCTGCGTGTCCGGGAGGCGGGGGGAGGAGAGTGCTTGCACACTCAGTACCTCGGTCTCCCCCCAGACCTAGGCGTTGGGGTCTGGGAGGCCGTGGGTGACTTCGAGGTTGTGTAAACTCTGAGTGCACCTGAGTCCCGGATCCCCGAGGCTCAGCCCGGGTGATGCCTGCGAGATCCGAGTCTACCAGGGCGTCTTAGGTGGTGTTTGCTTGCTTGTTTGTGTGCCGGTCTGGGGTTTGAACTCGGTGTCTGGGTGCTGTGTCATTACTACTTGAGCCACAGTTCCACCTCCAACTTTTTGGTGGTTGTGATAGTCTCTTGGACTTTCCTGCCTAAGCTGGCTTCGAACCTGGATCCTCCAGTCTCAGCCTCTTGGGCTTGCAGCTGTGAGCCACCTGCTTCCAGTTTAGATGTTTGTTAAGCACGTTATTCTTTACTGGCATTTACTGAGCCCTAGTTCTTCCTAGTACTTTGTTGACGGTAAAAGGATCTTGTATTCACTGAACCAGAAGGGGTCCGAGTGATCACACGAATAGGAACTGTAAGCTCATGAAGTGGAGATTGCTGCTGGTTATAAAATGTTCCAGCTTTCTTTTGGTTGGAAACCGCTCCTGTGACTTTGCACTTTGAGCCCGGTATGACTGGAAGACCCTTCTTCCCTGGGAAAAGTGCACCATTTGGTGGAGGCAGAATCTGCTTTTCAAACTGCCTCTGAGAATCTTAGAATCAGAAGGCATAGTGCAGAAACCCAGCCATGGGAGATAATCACACATAACTGGCAACTTCAAAATATCTTTATCTTACTGAGCAGTATGGCAAATCAGCATCTCTCAATATCAAAGACCTACTCAGTTCAATGTTTAACCATCACCCTTAAACCAAACTACTCCCTTTGTAGAGTAGGCGCTAAGAAAGCCCACTTAGACTTAATATCACTTGCACATGGTACTTGCCAGAAACCAGATAGGTCAAGTACTATCCCGTAAAACACTTTGGGTTTGAAGACACCCTCAGTGGTCAAGTCCCAAGTTTTGCCACATACTCTTCATAAACAAATGGTAACTGGAAATATCCACTGCTTAGGTTGCTTCTGTGAGTGATGCCAGCCTACATTACTTTCTTGGATCCATGTGATCAAAGATAACTTACATGAAGTTAATTTGTACATTTTGCTATAATTTGTACTTTTAAATAGAACATTCTGTGGCACTTAGTAAATGCCAAGCATTCTCTTTGAAACCCAGCAAATACTAATTCAGTTAATATTCAGAAACCAGGTGAGATAGATATATAGCTCCAAGAGCTAATTTATCTAGTTCTGTTGTGGTAAGGCCAAATTAAACTGGCCCTACATGTAGAAAAACTAAGAAGTAGTGCATTCCTTTTAATCATATAGATAAGTAGTCTTTGAGTAATTAATAGAAAACACATTAGCAATGGTGTGAGAAAGATTTTTGTTAAAGGTCTGCTGTGTTAGATAAACTTAAAAGGATGAGTGTAAGCTGTGGGGATGGAGGTAGGGAAGAAGAACTATTTGTTTCTTAGAGAAAAGGAACTAAAAGTGAGTGTAAGCCAGGCTATTGCTAAGTCCTGAAATCCTAGCTACTTGTGAGGTAGATATGGGTGGGTGGCAGTGTAAGGCCTGCCTGGGCAATGAATCAGTGTTGTGACACACTCCTCTGTTTTCCTAGCTACAAGAGAAGCACAATGGGTGGGCTCAGTGTCATCCCCAAGACACAGGAAAGAATCAGAGCCAAAAAATTGGTTAAACACCTGTAGAAAACTAAAGCTAGATCCCCATCTATCACCCTGCACCAGAATCAACTCCAAAGGGATCAAAGACCTCGAAGTCAAAGCAGGCACCCTGAAAACATTACAGGAAGGAATAGGAGAAACCCTAGGTCTCCTTGGCACAGGCTGAAATTTTCTTAATAGAGACCCAGAAACACAACAAATCAAAGAAAGGTTGGACAAATGGGATTGCATGAAATTGCAGAGCTTCTGCATGGCAAAGGACATAGCTAGCAAGATCAATATAAAGCCCACGGATTGGGAGAAGATCTTCACAAGTCATACAACAGACAAGGGTCTTATATCTAAAATAGAACTCAAAAAACTAAATTCCCCAACATCAAATTCTCAAAGAAACAACTGCCCCATAAGTAAGTGAGCTAAAAACTTAAAGAGAAATTTCTCTGAAGAGGAAATAAGAATGGCCAATAGACACATGAAGAAATGCTCAACCTCTCTAGCCATAAAAGAAATGCAAATCAAGACAACATTGAGATTCTAACTCAACCCAGTCAGGAAATCTAGTAACAACAGATGCTGGAGGGGATGTGGCCAAAAGGGAACTTTACTGTATTGTTGGTGGGAGTGTAAACTTGTTCAACCAACTTGGAAAGCAGTATGGAGGTTCCTCAAAAGACTTCCACATAGAGCTCCTCTATGACCCAGCAATCCCACTTTTGGGCATTTACCCAATCACAAACAAGGCTATAGTAAAGCTATCAGTACAAGTATGTTTATTGCAGCATTATTTATGATAGCTAAGATATGGAACCAACCCAAATGTCCCTCAGTAGATGAATGGATCAAGAAAATGTGGTTTATATTTATATACAATGGAATTCTATGCTTCCATCAGAAAGAATGACATTGCCCCATTTGTTAGGAACTGCAAAGACTTGGAAAA